CCAGCTTCTCCCTCTCTAACGCCAAGGCGTCATTCAAGCTCCTCTAAGCAGCGGCAACACTCTCCAACTGATGGACCTTGTCCTGTGTTGCCTTCAGCTCAGCATGAGCCACGCGGGACGACTCCTCAGCAGCCAAAGTGCGCCTCAGGTGTTTGTCAGATTGGAAAGTCAAGGCGTGCACGACAGTGTTCGCCTAGCAGAAGGAAACTGGTTAGTAAAAAAAGGGGGGGATAAAGTGTTGGCTCACGGAATACGAACTTACCACCATGATGTGGGTTGCAGCGCGGCCCCCGAGCTGACCTGGGGAGAGTTCAGCCCAACTCACGACCTTTGCATTGATTACGCCCCTTTTACTTTGGTCGAGGCTGACCTCGGGATCCAAGATGGACTCCTCCTCTCCAGTCCTTGAATTGGACGCCGCCGCATCTGCAGCGCGGTGAGCCGACTCTTTGGTGGCCTCGGCAGCTGCCCCGGCAGAACTCGGAGCCTCAGCTGGCTCATCCACCAACCCCTCCGCAGCCTCAGGCTTTTGGGGTGGAAAATCATCCTCCAGATCTATCACTGGAGGGGCATTGTTGAGCTCGGGCTCAAGGGTGGAAACCCGGGGATGATCGGAATCGGGGGAGGGAGCCCTCGGCGGCTCCTCACGAGCCTTCTTGGCAGCCCGCTTCTTCCTCTTTTTCATTTGGTTGAGGTGCCTAGGATCTGTAATCCTTTCTTCTTCGTCCATGGGACCTGCAACAAAGTTGGCGTCAGTGAACCTGAAGACACTAAGCAGATAAAAGCAAAGCACCAAAAGATAGAAATAGACCTACCCGGGCTCAAACCGGCCTGAACGAGCTTCTCTTCGGTGATGTACTCCCGATGATCGAGCTCAGCCTGAGCCCACGAATGGAAGGTCTCCCACGTCTGCTGGTTGAGGGCGATGCTGGTAGCCTGGGTGGTCACCCTCTAGCTAGTAAGGAAGAGCCACCCCGTGCTGGCCCGGACCACAAAATAGTCCCGCTTCCAGGCCGGGACCTTGGTCGGGAACTTATGCAACAGCTTGAAGCCTGGGCGAGGAGACAAGTAGTAGACCTGCCCATGCTCGGGGGAGCGCTAGAGGCGCTCTTTTTTATTAGCAGTATGGAGCAAAGTATGTCCGCGTCCAAAGAGAACTTCCGTTCGCGACAGAGGGAAATGGTTCCCACCAAATTCCGAATGGAATTGGGGTGAAGCTGATCCAGTGTGATGCTGAAATGCCCCAACACCTCGGGGATAAGGGGATGAAGAGGGAGACGAAGCCCACCGATGAGTTGTTCCCTGAATGAGGTCTTGGAGCCTCTCCAGCGTCAGAGTAGAAGGACCGAACTGGTCCAGCATCCGACCTCGATGAGAGGTGGACGCCAGTTTACCCGAGGTTGCCCGTGCCTCGTGGGAAGGCTGGGCAACAGTAGGGTCACCATGACCCGAGGTGTCCGCCTCGAGTTCATCCGAGAAACTGCCCCCACTAGACATAAGGAAGAACGAATTGAGAAAAAAGAAAAGAGGGAAGACTTGGGGACTCACCAGAAAGAGACGAAACCGAGCTGGAGACCTCAGACACGAGTTCAAGATGAAAAACACTTAGCGACGAAGGAAAATGGCCAGAATCCCGCTATTTATAGCCACGGGGCCCAGTAGCCAACGGTCAAGATTGGATCAATCCAACGGACCTCAAAGAAACTGACTGCGGGACTCTCAAGGCGAATTTGGTTTAGCACATTTTTTGGCGTCCGCGCAGCATAAAGCACGTGACGTCCGTGTGTGAATTGCACGAGACACGGGTTTTTCCCTCCACGCAAACCGAA